AATAAATATTCTGACTTTATAGTTTGCAACTAATAGTTATTTTCTAATTATATTGTTTTTTGTAATTTGTATTTGACATAAATAAATAATTTATAAAATAATTTATTGTTCCATCTGAATATAATTTCATCTGTCAGAGGTGTTCAAGAATGGCTATATTTCATTGATGTAGAATAGTAGGAATTAAATTCAATCAATCAGATTTTACTGATTTGTGCTTTTTAAGATATTAAGTATTTTCTTTCCTTCAGGAAACCGTTGAGCTGTTTTTACGGAGAGATGATGTAGAATGATACAAAATATCGAAAGTCAAACACAGAATATACTGTACTCGATTGACTCAACTAAGGACCCCATCCCCCAACCCCCCATTTGGGGTGTTTCTATTTTTGGGTTTGACAAAAAATGACAAATTCCATTCACAAGATGACGGATGTACAGACAGACGGATGGACAGACACACAAACACATACACACAGACAGACTTACTTGACGACTCTGTGGAGACTACCTCAATAGTTGGCAAGCTCTGCCCAAAATTGTTGAATGTACGTAAGGTGACAAGATACACAGTGGACGGTTGTAAATTTTCTATCGTGTACTGCGTCACTTGTCTGTCTAGGGTGACCGTGTATACATCTCGAGTTCCTACGCTGAGTCCAAGAGTATATCCGCGTAGGACTATGTCTGTGTTTGTACGTGGTATCCACTGTACGAGTATGCTGTCTGTGGTGGCCTGGGTGTCTATTGCACTTACACTGGGTGGTGGTTGGGTTTCAATAACTATGAGTGCAAAATAGAGGATACAAAGCAAGGAAAAATAGAAAGCTATCAATTGCAGACAAGGATGAAGATGTTCTATATACAGCCCTCAAAGTTGAATATTTTTCCCTAGTGGCCTTTAGCAAGCAAGTACAAAATTATAGGACCAGAATTTATAATGTTTTACAAATACATGATAAGCTACGCAGAAACGCCAATCATTTTAAAACTCAGATACAACTGTCTCTTGTGATTATCGGAAGACGCTGATCCACAGATGGGACAGGATCTACTTCATCACGCGAATTTGCAAAATACACAGCTGCTGTTTTTACATCAATTCATAGAAATAATTAAATATAGTAGATAATGAAATACATATGTGCAAAATGTTGATATGTGAGTAGAAGAGTTTAATCTGTTTTATGTTACTGAGAATTTGTGGCCATTTTGCTCAGGCCGTTGGCGTCAACAATATTTTTTTTTAAAATCTCCGTTGATTAAATGTAATCATGTGACCAAAATGGTTTCAGTCTAGAAGTTTGATATATATCTGAATCATCAAAATCCAATCCAATCCAAGGTAACCAATTTTGCAAAATCATTTTTGCGACTAAATGTATGGTTAGAGCATCTACAAAATACGAACAAAATTCATCAACATGAATTACGTTCCTGATTACTGTAAAAGGGTTAATTATTCACTGGGTTTTATTTTTGCTTATTTCGCTGACTGGAAAATGTGCTAAATTAAAACCCAGTGAATATGTAAAATTTAGCATAAGAACACATTATTTAAATGATAAAACCGTGAACCCACTGAATATGTCTGAAATGGTAAATCAACGAAATTTAAACCCAGTGAAAATTAGTCATTTTATAGTATATTGAATCAAATCTTATATGAATTGAATATTAAACAATCCATTTGAAAATAATGTTTCAAACATTATTAAATTATGAACTTTATTAACTGGCCAGGGTCTGGTAATGCCAAAATGCCTAGGCAGTACTATAGAACATCTTCACAAGAATTTTACAATTACAGTATCACAAGAACAATGCAATAGGGTGCATATACAAGAACTCTTTCATCTTTTTCTGTGCAATGTGACAGCCCACCAAAAATATTTAAACTTCTTAAAAGTTTGTGAATTGATAACGGTATGAATGATTGTGGTGTTGACATTTGTATTGAAAGTCATAACAGGAAGTCATCACAATCAGATTCAAATGTATACATTCAAATATGGAATATAAATGACCATATAAGGACAATGTATCAGATTTTTTTTTTTTTTTTGGAAAGATAAAAATTCGGAAAATTAAATATAGAGCTCAGGAATATTTTAGCTAGGGATGAAAGCGTTTTGTATAATATTGAACACAGGACTGTTGGGAAAAGTATAAAAGAAATCAGATTTATCAAGATTACAACTACAATAGGATTTAAATCACAGAGCATTGAATTAATAGAAGTTGGCTAAAAAACAAAAGAAATTTACAATTTGCCCTGTGGTGGCTTTTACTGTCAACTATCAACAACATAACTGTTGACACACCAACATAAGACTATCTAGAATTTGTATGTTAATTTGAACAAAATAAAACTGATTTGCACTGACAAAATGTTTTGATCAACATTTTTGAAATAGTAAGAGAAAAGTTAAGAAGGTTTATTTTGTGAGAAATTTATGAATTTGACATACAAACAAAGACAAAATATGGTGTAACTGCATCACATTCAAAACCGCACGTAAAAACAAATTTACTGTCCACTGCATAAGAAAACTGGCTACAATTAAAGAATATTGTCTGATTTACTTGGCATTTACAGCATACAAACTGTTTATTTTATGTTGTTCTTCACAAAATTCAGATAAGTGGTCAAATAAACATGACAATGGATAATTTTTCAAATTGATCATGTAAATAAAATAAAAAAATGTCATTGTATTTCAATTTTTTTTAGATAACGTGTAGTTATAAGGTTTGTGTATATGGTTGTTGTGAATTATCAAAAAACGTGATCAATACACTTTTTATGAAATAATGCTTTATAATGGATTCCTATGTAATTACCCAAAACGGCTCATTTATGCTTTTATGTGTTTGTTTTTTCAGAAAAAATATTTGCAACTGGGTAAAAAAGTTGATGACGCGTCCAAATCAATGATTACCCGCAGTATGTGTTTTTTTGTTGATATTTAATAGGTTGAATAAAATCAAACATTAAAGCGGGAGGGTTGTCACCTGCGCACGCGCGAGAGTTGAGTCCCAAGCGACGATAACAACACACGCTAAAAACGCAAAGGCACAGGGGTAGACGCTTGTTTGTAAACAATGACACGCTATGACCAACTGACGCATGCGTGGGTGACGACTTCCCCGCTTTAACTATAGTAAAGAACCAATTAAAATATCTTATCAATTCACTCAGAGTAACAGACTTAGCTAAGAACATCTTTCAAATAGCGAAGATCTAAACATTGCAACCATATATTGACACTTTACTATTTGACCTTTGACCTGCTCCCCAAGTGGGATAGATTAAATGCTCCTAATATTACATAATGTCACCTTTCCAAATGACACACACTAATCAGCCAAAGGAGTATGTACGACATTCCAACACAATAAAGCAACAAAATATTGGTGTTAAACTTTTATATGCCGTATTTATTCCTGTCGTCATTACGATGCAAAATTTTGATGTGTTTTTCTACAATTTTGGGACAAATAGACAACATTTTTTTAAAACTAAAATACGAAAAAAATATACTGTAAAAGGGTTAATTATTCACTGGGTTTTAATTTTGCTTATTTCGCTGACTGGAAAATGTGCTAAATTAAAACCCAGTGAATAAGTAAAATTGAGCATAGAACACATTATCTAAATGATAAAACTGTGAATTTAAAACCCACTGAATATGCCTGAAATGCTAAATCAGTGAAATTTAAACCAAGTGAAAATTAGTCATTTTACAGTATGCAGGTTTGTTTGCAGAAATATGGTGAGACTAAGATCAGTTGAAATTTAAAAAACAACAACAAAAAACGTGAAACCGCAGCAGTACAATTTTAAATGGTTTGATAAACATTTGATAAAATTTTATAAAAATATACCGAAAATATACAGAGATCAGTTGAAAATAATAAAAAAACCAGTATATATAATTTTTAGTCTCAAGAATCAATGCGTAATGCTCAGATCAACAAGTGAGTAATTCAGGTGATTTAAGTTCCGAAATAATCTGCGAAATTGAGATTCACATGCATGGAAACCAACATTTTTGTAACACAAAGAAAGCCAGGGAACTATACTAAACTGTACGCCTAGTCTGTAATGGGAAGGGGGAGGGTATCAGCTGTATCTAGTTTATAAAAATAGACAAGGGATCAAGGTCCCAGAGATCCCACATCTGTTTAGTTTTCTTGATTTATTCTACCTATTTATTCTTCTATCTGTAAATTAAAGTAAAGTATTGGAGAAATTTGAAAGAGCAACTAATACTCTTTAAACTGGTATTTTGTTACAAATTAAATTTGACTTATTCTTCCATCTGTTTTTTTTTTCAGTTTTAAAAATCGTTGGAGCTTTTATCCCTTGTCTATTTTTACACATTAGATACCAGCCGATACCCCTCCACCATATACAGGTTAGGCGTACAGTTTATTATAGTTTCTTGGCTCCCTTTGGTAATTACAAAGGAGCATGTTCACATTGCCACCTTGTTTTTTTAGCTGCCATGCTGCATTGTGCATTTTGTTTGGGACCCATACTATGCAAAAAGCGCAGTTGCAACAACTTAAAACCTTAGGACAGCAAGGTCAAAAGATCATTAAGCACATGTGATTTTAAAAAACCAAAACAAAGTACTGTAGAATACTTTATTTTCGCTTGGAATTTATTTTCGCTATTTTCGCTGAAGGGATGATTCCGTGAAAATAAAATCCAGCGAATATACTTTTTTTCCTATACTTCACATTAAACTCATCAAAAAACAGTGAAAATAAATTCCATACAAAATGCCCCAAATTCCATTTTCAGCAAAAATTAATTCCAGTGAAAATAAAGTATTCTACAGTAACAAAATTATGTTTATCAACTTTTGTAACTTGTTTACTGTGAAGTTCAATTTTATAAATCCTAGATTCCTACACAGTTCTGTCTCTGAATGAGCACCATAATTATTTCCTGCTAAGTATTGGTGCCACATTGGCTGTTTTTATGTATTTTTATAAATTCTTTTTTGATAATTTTCACCAAATGAACATAATTTCCTATTGGCTAAAAGTGTTGTAAACATTTTTGGAAAAATTCTAAAATTTTGTTAAAAATTCGGAAAAAGTTGACTTTGGCACTAAAAGGGGCAAGAAAGGAAAACAAAGATAAATATGAGATGTGTGAAAATCAAAAGAATTCTTAATGTGAAACCTGATGTCACAGTAGGTGTGCGGAAAAACGGAAGGAAGTCGTACACCCACCAAATAATAAACATGACTGCCAAAGAAGAAATTCAATCGCTAAATTTTAGCTGGGAAAATGCCTGGCATAATTGGTACTGGAAACACAGTCTGATTTGTATCAAATTCTACACAGTGTAGCATTTCTGTAGATAATTGATACTGTAAAGTTTAATGTCACATTATAGAGTTATGGCAAGCTCGATTCTCATCTGAAAGTTAACCTTTTCACCACCGTTTTCTTTCCCATCAAGTAAAAAAGCTCTGTCTTACATCTGATAATGTTGTTTTTGAAATCTGTGCTAACATCAAGAATTAAATACAGAGAGCATATGATGAGATTATTACATATACTGAAGGCAGTACGGTGATCTATGCCACCCTGTGCTGCCTGAGTACATACTTTTCAGTGTTCTTGTTCACAGTGCAATATAACAACAGAAAAACGGAATCATTTCATAAGATGTGTGCCTGCAGACACACTTATTCTTGTTCACTGAAGTAATTACATTTCCTCACAAGCTCCCCCTCCTCCGAAACAAAGAGAATAAATTCAAAGATGATGTAAATATGAAAGACATTTTCGAAATAAGGAAGACAATCATAACAGTTGAACTTGGCTGTATAACTTTGAAACAAATTCATACCGGGTTTTACAGATGGCTAAATTCTAATGCCGCCCCATGGAAAATATTATTATTATTATGAAAACCCTTGATTTTGACAAATAAATCAACAAAGTCAAAGTGGCGACTCAGAATGAGTTTTTTGGTGTCATGATAAAAAACGAAAAATATTTCTAAATAGACAAATATATCATTTTTTGTGTTTAAAAAACTATAAAATTGTACTCCAGCATATGGGAAAGGAGAGCATGATGTTGAAATTTT